AGAGAGAGAGAGAGAGAGAGAGTTGGGTGGGGGATGGGGTGGGGTGGAGAATTGCTTTCAGGGGTGTGAGGGTGGCTCCCCAGGCAGCTGGTTTTGGAAGCTCTGGAGAGGACAGAGTAGCTCTTGGATAAAGAGACACTGGCAAACACTAAAAGTCTCAAGACAGCCGCTTCAAGAGTGAAAACTGACAGACATTTCCAGCTTTCCGTTAAGCATATTTAAAGTAAATTCTGATTTAAGTTTGTACTTAAATTTATCCCTAGTGTTTATAGTGAGGTCAGCAGAAAAGTGTGCTACATTTCAAAATCGCTTTTCCCCCACATAAGAACAAATCTTAAAATCTAAAACATTATTTGCACATTTCACTCCCAAATAGAAAGAAATCTATGTTAGTAGATTGAGGATTGTCTAGAGAATTTTGCTGTTATCTTTGCTACATTATTTAAAAGATCATAACTGTCCCAAAGTGGAATTTAGTTCTAATTACTAATTGCTTTTAGTAATTCATATTTTATACACTAGATAACTATAAGTCTGGACAGTTTCTATCAATACAGTGCAGAAATGACATGGATGAAAATTTGTGAAGTGAATGGCAAACCTAAGAATCCACGTGTTTAATTGCAGAAAAATTTGGATAAATTTTGTTGAACCCACAGTTTAATTGGGAATAAAAGCTAAAGCAAATAGAAAAACTCAGTTCCCCCCTCCCACCCGCCAAGAAAGAAGCAAACACAGAGCCCCACCCTTGCTAGGCTAGAGATTTACCCCTGAGCTAAATCCCAAAGCCCCGATTCCAATTTATTCCCAACTCAACAATGGAAAGTTAAGCAAAGTGCCCAGGTCTAGGGGCAATTACCTAGGATAGGTGGAGCCCGCCATGGCTCACAATGTGCTGACTTTAAACTTCTATACAAACCAGGTCTCACAAGTGCCACCCACTTTTTGTTTTCTCCAAGTGCAAGTTAGTGTGAAAATCTAGCAAATCTTTATTTTCCCAAAAATACTGATCGAAAAACAAAAATAGAGAACAGAAGACAAGAATGTGAGGGATAGTGAATGACAAGAGGTGGTGACTAATTCGTGTTGGTGGCCTGTTATCTGTGACATTGAACTGTTATTTCGGATAATGGCCATTGTTTGCGGGGGAAAGTCTCACAGCAGTGGTAGGTAAGACAGGAAAAAATCCTTTGTAAATAACATAAGCGGTCAGATATTCCCATAGAGCCCTGCCTGAGAACCTTGAGGAGCCCTGGCCTCCCTGCATTGATCGTGGGTCCTTCCTCAACTTGCCCATTGTTGGAGCTTTTTTTTTTTTAATTTAGCCATAAATTGGACTAGCTGGAGCTATGAGCTGTTCTATTTTCTTCCTGTCAGGATGAGAGATTTGTTTTATGATGCATTGTGTATTAAATACAAGTAATCTAGGGAACTGATTGCTTCAGACACTTGGGCTTGATCCGGGCTATGGGCGCTCAGTGTCCCAAACCATTCCTGACCTACCCCACCCAGCCTGGCCTTGCAGCACCCACCGCCTAATCCTTTCCAAAGCGTCTGTGAAAAGCAGGAAACGTGGGTGATGAGACAAAGGTCCTGCGGAATCAGTGACAGGTCCTGACTAAAATCACATTCCAGAGAAAAAGCCTCCCTTTGAGTTTGTTCCCCGCCGCCGGGGGGGGCCCCCCCCCCCCCCGGGGGGGGGGGGGGGGGGGGGGGGGGGG